AAAGCAAGAATGCACATGCATGATTTTGTCTAAAAATTATAATTATGATAAATAAAAAGAGCATGCATTTATATTTAATAATTTATCGTTTATTGAAATCATAATAATAATAAGCTTTTTTTGTTTTTTGTTTGAAACAAATATTGTTAAAGAGTCAGGCAAATCTGTATGTTAAGGGAATACACATTAGAAATGACAGAGATCTTACTGACATACCTTCAGCCACCATTTCCCAGAATGTTGCTATAAATGTAATAAATATTTCATTATAATTATATCTTCCATTGGATTAAAATATGGATAATTCTTGCCACTAAAACAAATCAACTGGAAGAAAATCTTTAAAAACTGTTTATATGAATTTTATTTTTCTTTTAAATAATAACAAAAAATTAATAAAAATAAAATTCTTCAATAAAACCTATTATAAAAATAACGATCTAAACGAATCCTCGATATTAACTTTTAATTAAATAATATGGTTCTCGTGCATTTAAATTTGAAACAATACAGCTAAGATTTTGCTTCTCTGTTTCAATCCGATATCGAAAACTGGGTTCCCACTTGCAGAAAATTATGAAAGAGAGAAAAAAGAAATTTTCATTTTCTGTAATAAGAAATGTCTCAAAAAATAGAGTTGAGAAATTAATGAACAAACCACCATAAAATTCCAACAAAGCTTGATTTAATAGAATATATGTTTTAAACCATAATTTAATAGTTGTCATCAGGTATTGAGTTGAGAAACATTAAATATTTCTACTTTCAAATGCAGAAAGCCGATAGCCAATGAAAAATGAGTTCAGTGAAATGTCATTCGTAGAAATCATAGCATGCCGTCTTCATTCTATTAATAAAATTTCATTAAATAATTCTTCTAAAACTAAATACAATCTTAAAATTTGAATAACGTCAAATTATTTTTCAGAATAATCGTAATGATTATGATTATTTTCAATATATTTACTCAAAGTAGAATTTCCTGTCATGAAAACATAATTCACTTATTAGAAATCTGCTGTAAGTATTCTAATGGTCTATGGTCTACTCTAAAAATTTTTAACATAGTTTTATTGTTTTCTTAAGTATAGAAAGCAAGAAGAATTAGATACTGTATATGAAATAATTAGTGAAATCTCTTTTGTCAACACTGGAGTCCATCTTGGAATGATTATACAATTATACACCATCTTACATGTTAGAAAGGCACTTTGCTGATTTACATATGATGTAAGTTTTATGTTATTCACATTTCATAGTGTTGATTCTACACAGGTTTCATGTTTGTTGCTTTAATTTTAGACACTAGTATATATAAATATAAACTTCATATATGTTTGTTCATTTTTTAATTCTCTCTCATTACTCCAAAATAATTTATTTCCAGTATTTAAAAGCCATTTCATTCATCTTAACTAAAATTATATATCAAAAATGTAAATCAAATTATTATATTTTTAAAAATTAATAATAAAAATTATCATTATTATTTAATAGTAGTAACAACTTACACTCCCACTTCCAGTATCTGTAACTGTTCTCTTATTGTAAGGATTATCGTCATTTCGTTTTCCAAACATGCAACATAACATTGCTGCAGTCTGTACATCATAATGTCTGATGTAATGTTCAATTCTGTATAGATAAACACATCAAAATATATAATAAATGAATAAATTTAAGTGTATTTATCCATAATTTTGTTAAATAGCTACCATACGTATGCATAAAGTAACTTTTGTAAAATGAATTTTTTAATTAATATTTTGATAGTTTATAGATTGGTGATATTCATCTGGGATGCTGCGGCATACTAGGATGCCACAACAACACAACACTTCGGGAGTGTTATAATATAATGCTGAGCAAAACCAGAACACTTCTTATGTAAATCACTAAAAGTATGAAAAGTGAAATAATTCTACATTGATAAAGAAGTACGGGTACCACAAGAAAAAATTTTTAAAAAATATCAAAACCAAAATCTAAAACCAAACACAAAATGACTTATCAAATGTCAATAAATCAATAAATGATACGAGTACAATTGTCGTCCTTTGTGGAAAAGTGCCCAAGAATCCATAAACTTATTTCAAACAAGCAGCAACAAACTTTGCACTAATTTGTTATAATTAAACAAGTGATTTGATATTAATAGAGTAAAATAAAGTAAAATGGAACTTTTATGGTCACTAGCAAGTAAACCCAGCAATGCCTGGACAAAAAATAAAAACAGACATTAAGATTATTAGATTATTTAATACTTCTAATCCTTCTATTATATTATATTAATAGTATTTGCTTTATATAACTAGAAAGGTTATCTTACGTAAGGATTTATAATACCAAGTGACCAACCTAACAGATTTTAAAAATTCTTTAAATTGTGTACAGTAGAGGGATAAAGAATTTTTAAAATGTGTACGATTGGTCACTTGGTATGGTAAACCCTTACATAAGATAACCTTTGTGGTTATATAAATCAAATACTATAATAAAATAAACATTAAAACAAAAACCATATAAAGAGTTTGGTTACTTTAGCCTACCATTGTCACGTTTATTGCAATACTCGGATGATACGAAATGGCAGTTTCATTGGTCAAGTAGACTCCAATTTAAGATATCATATTTTTTTCTAATGTTAGCACTAACAAACTGGTCCATTAACAGCCAAATATCAAATGGTAATCTGCCAACAAATTATATTTAGTTTATTATTTTCTTAAATTTTTGCCAATAGGTGGCACATGCAAAGCCAACAAATTGAATGTAGATAGAAATTAATTGATAAATAGAAATCCAATTTTGGGGCGGGATGTATGACACTATCTAAATTAGAAGTATGTGAACATAACTGCCGAGTTTCATAACAATTTGTTGATCGGCCTAGGCATGTATAGCAAACCAAAAAAAAAAAAAAAAACAAACATACATCCTCATTTATATGTAGATTATTCTGTAGATGTTTATATTGTTTAAAAAAAATCTGTGACAGAATTCTGCAAGATTCAAAATTGAGAGTTTAGTGGTCTGTGAAATCAGAAAGGTTGGCAACTGCTGATTTAGAAAATATTGTCTCAAACATTGTTTTTTCCCTATTTGTTTTATTTTATTGGGCTGCAATTTTCAAATTGCAGACCTATAGATTTTTAGCTTTCTGTCTGTATGTCCATTCATCCATTATTCCTTAAACTCAAGAATGAGGTTAGATAATAAAGAATGAGACCAAATATAGAAAGTTTAGGAGCTGGAGGCTCAATTAACTATATAAAAATTTCCCGTTTGAACTGGAAGTTATGCGATTTTTTAAATTATGATAAAAAATTGCATTCAGACATTATGATGATGTAATAAGTAAGTAAGTTCTTATTTCTGTTAAAAATTAAGTGTACTATATGTATTTAAAAGCAAATAAAATCGCTTATTTTACACACTTCCCATTAATCAAATTCAGCAAATGAGATTTCAAATTAAACTTTATAGCTTCTAAATGTGCAGAAAACTATAAAAGTTTGAACATAATTCAAGTTGATCAGATTATTAATGGTATTAGTACTTTTCAGTTGATCATGTGACCAGTAGTATTGTTACACAACACAGTCTATTATTAAAATTTTTTGCATTACGTAATAGTCTGTATCTTAAAATAATCATCTTAACAGATATAAAGCTTCAAATACAATCTTAATGTTTATATTTATAAAAACTTTTAAATTACGCAAGCGGCTATGCTTCGCTTTGATGACATTAATCGTAAGCAATACGTTAAAAATATACAAAAAAAACATTTTAAAGTAGTGATTTTTTCAGGTAAATGTACTACAAAGTAAAAAATAAATTTTCTTCAGCTTTCACAGTAATTTTGGTTGCATAATACCAAAAATACTGTGAAAGCTAAAGAAAATTTATTTTTTTTACTTTTTAGTATATTATCTGAAAATAAATCATTACTTTAAAATGTTTTTTTTTATATATTTTTTATTTTCTACTTTTTAGTTGTACTATATGTATGTAACCCTGAACTATTAGTTTAACATTTAATTTTACGCATATTGTTCTCTGTACGATTGGTTTCAATTACAAAAAAAACATTAAGTAATTTTGATGTAGTGAGTGATTAGACCTTTCAATTACTTTGGTGATAGAAGGCTACCTTGAACAAGACAACTTCTTTGGCCTGCAAAATTGCTAATAATAGTAGTGAAGACTAATAGCTTTTATGTATATTTGTTATATTATCTTAAAGATTAAAGATGTAGTTTAGCTATTTGGCAGAATAACCATATTCTTTTTCTTCATATTTGTTCCCATGTGTAGGACGACAAATAACGATCATGTGTTGTAGCACCATCCATTATCAGATTTTTATAGATTTTAATTATTTGCTAATTTTTTGCTAATTTTTAAAAATGTTTGCAAACTATTAAAAAAACATACTGTCATTGGCAATATACATGTGTGCAAAGTTTCAACTAGATTGGAAATTGAGAAGATGAATTGCAACTTTTTACCTGGACAGACGGACAACCAAACAAATAGATGGACAGAGTAAGTTAATAAAAAGCTTTAAAAATGTTGGCTCTACAGGTTTTATTTTGTACATTAAAATTACTTTATGTTTATTAAAATTTGATTAACTATTAACTAAATTACTGGAGGCCACAAGTATTATCAGCATATCTGGTCTGCACTGTTGTGGCAAGAATATAGTCTAAGTTACATAGTTTAGTACTCTCTTAAATGTCTATTTTCAATTCAAGATAAATTATTACTTTCTTTGCTTTTAATTTATGATTGTCATGTCATGTCTGGTGAACATCCAAAATGATGTCATCATTTTCTTCTACATTAAATTGGGACTGTCTATATATTGTCATCATTTACCCTGGGAGTGTAATGTTGATGATGGAAAGGCAATAATGTTGAGCAATTGCATAAAGATGATCATCACTCCTTGGCATCTTTATTTTTGTAGCTGTCATACTTTGGATGATTTAACAACAAAAGAACTACAAAATCTTGAGTTTGGGGTTTGACATTAAAAGTTGCACAACATAATTGCACTTGACGCCATGTTCTTCCATGACAACTTAAGGAAACTAGTGTGACTTCTATACTAATCCACTTGATGCATGCAGAAGCTTCTCTGCACAAACTTACTCTGATCAAGCCTTTTGTGTTGCCACAGTAACACACTGGAAGAAATGGCATCTTTCTTTTGGGTCCACTTAATGTTGTGTTTTGTTTTTGTCACAGGATGACAGAGTGGAGATGCCAATAGGACTAACAACTTTCTTAGAATGCATATTGTTCAGCTATTCAGTTTGCACTTAGAAAGAGGACCTGCAGGTACTAACTTAGAAAAAAGACACATAAAAATAAGTTAATATTTATAATAATATGCTTTAATATGCACATTTTGTTTCAGGAAATGTGAAATTAATTTATTAAGCTTCAGCAGGAAATCTGACTAAGCATTTCAAAATCAATAGTGGACAATCACTGCAGCAAAGCCAATAGCATACTTCAACAGCTGGTATGTATTGCTACCATAAAAGAACAAGAATTAGTGACAATACTGAAAGATCTAATTTTTTCCAGATATGTCAAACCCTGTCCCTAAAATCAACTGGCACCCCATTATATTTATAGGGAAAAAGTAAAAGTGAATGAGAAATTATTTTGCTGCAATTTTAGTCATATTTTTAATTTATTTAATTTAAAATATATGCTCTCCACCTCAAATTAGTAGTGGCTTGCCCCTGTACATCATGCTTTTCCTTTAACAATAGAGTCGTGCCAGACATCTATCTAACACCTTTCAGAGAAAAAGTTTTAATTGAAGTATGACTTTTGGTTTGCATCAGTAGTTTGTATATAGTAAATCGAGGCCTCCTGCCCCTAAGGTTTCCATATCTGTTCTCATCTTTCATCTAATTCCATTCTCAAGATTAAGGAAAGAAAAACAAACAGACAACAGTGGAAATTTATAGGCTAAACAAAAAACTCATTGTTTGATTAGATAACAATGTGGATATAAAGTTAAATGTAAGGAAAATTAATGTGAGAAGTTGTGGGGTCAATTAATATCATTTTAAACCCCTTTTTTTGACGTGATGGTTAGGCCTGTTCAATTGTCACTGGATGGCTAGTTCCTTGGTTTATGATCAGAGGTGGGAAAATCATATAATTTTCCTCTCCTGTCATGTCTGACACCAGTTAAGATAAATTTATGCATCTTAACTCGCAATTCTAGCTAGACATTTGCAGGTTGACATCTAATATCTGATTAGAGGGCTAAACAAGCGGGAGTCATGAGTAAGTCAACAGGGTCCAGACAGGTTAAATAAATAACAAAAGTTTAATGAGTCAAAATAAAGTAAGGATAAAATACAAAAAGGGATTAAATATATCGATTAACTATAGTTTGACAAACTAGCTACTTATCTCTAATTCAACCGAGAGAGAGAGAGTCTGCCCCTTTTATCCCCAACTTTTTCATCAGGTGATTCTCTGTCAGAGCTACACCCAGTAGGTCATCATATGATTTTGTCATGAGATGGTGACGATTAGGGCGAAGGTTTATCTCCCTCTGTTTGAACATGCTACTCACCCACCCACAGTCAGTCATT